TCTCTCTCTCTCTCTCTCTCTCTCTCTCTCTCTCTCTCTCTCTCTCTCTCTCTCTCTCTCTCTCTCTCTGCGCGCGCGCGTGTGTGTGTGTGTGTGTGTGTGTGTGTGTGTGTGTGTGTGTGTGTGTGAGAGAGAGAGAGAATAATTATAAGATTAATAATATATAATTTACATGTAAACAACATAGATATTTAATATTAATAATAAGAAGTTTTATATCGATATTTCTCGATCTAAGTAATGATTACATTTAAATTACAATTAATTGTACATTCTTGAAATATTCTACATCTGATCGTTGCTTTTATTTCAGAGATCAGAAACGGCAGATTTTTTTTCTCTTGAAAAAATTCAGACAATGGAATTTTCTTTGTAAAATAATGGTCAATTCAGGGATCCAGAATATGTTACATGCTCTAAGAGTTTCAACGATAGGTATAGCTAATATAATCCAACTGTCAGAATGAATATCGGTAAATGTTGTGGAAAGTGAAACGGGAGATTAAATTCTCAATTTATACCCTTTAGGGCACTAACGCAGGTAAAATCAACCTCCAGGGATTCATATTAGTTAGGAAATAATAAGAATAATCTTCGCATGTGGCAAATGTTTATATATGAATGATAAGTGCGCGCAAAAATAAACTTGAAACATATACATGATATAAGCATTGATATAAAAAGGTATTACTTTTTAAAACTTTGCTTTTATTTTATTTTTACATATATAAATCAAAAAATTTATTATGTATAAGAAATATGACAAGTGGAAACTTACGTTATTTGGAAGATATTACGATTTCAAGATTTATCATTCTTTTATTTTTTAATCATTTAAAATCATCCAATATTTCCTCTAATACGTCATTGTTATCTAAGCTATTATTTATTCCGTTATCCACATTGTACAGTTATTATAGTATCATATAATTATTTTTTGCAGATAGGTTCAAGATAAATGTAATACATAAATAAAAGCAGCTTTACATGAAATATAATAGAATATAATTTAGAAATGATAACACGAGATATAGAGATATAGAGATATAGAGATTATAAAATGATTTTAACGCTGAATATATAATATTTCCATTTCCTCCTATATAGAATCATAACAATTGAATTGTCTGAATGCTCATTTTTATGGCTTTTTATTTGGTGCTAGTATAGTATCACACCTCCTGATGCGGGGATGTTCAAGGCATGAATATTTCTGACCCTTTTTCTAAATATGTAAAAGAAAGTGATAACATAAACACATATTCAAAGTAAAAAAATAAGACATGTGAAATCTCTTATGTGTATTTTTTAGCGTTATATCGTATTGATAATATGTATGATATTTTGTACTTGAATTATAAATATATAAAATATACTTTAAAATTACTCACCCAATGAGATGATGAACATTTGTAGTGGTATAATAAACTTTTAATTTGTGTAACCTTAATTTGTGAAGCTTCGATAAATCAACGGTTCTTTGTTTTTCTCCAAAGTTTAACACTACATAAATCGCTCTTCTACCAAGTTTCCTGTAATAACAAATACATTATTTTAGAAATTTTT